AGTGGGAATTGAACTTGTACTCAACCGCTTGGGGGTGCGACAACTTCACCACTTCACTAAGTCGCCACACCCTACTTAATTAAAATATTATATAAATTAATCTATTTATTATTACATTAAGTTCAATGAATATTCAATAACAAATTATAATAACAATATAAATACTATTAATCCTAAACCTGTCTATTTTAAATGGTCTTATTGGTTGAATCTTTCTTGATATATAGTTTATATATTACAATAAGTTTCCTCACAGTCATAATGTAAGAGCATACTTGGATTAATTTCCAATAATATTTAAATCCGCAATTGATTCATTATATCTTTTTATCTACTAATAAGTTATTTTACAGCTTCTTAACGTAGATGCATTATATGGTTCTATTTCTAATAATTTATTGAAGCTTAGAGATTCTTCATACTCTTTCATAAAATAGTTTTTTTTTTAATGTCTAATAAAACCTTTTCTTCGATTGAAAATGAATCTTGCTAAAGAATAGGAATTGACATTTTGCACCAATATCAGCTCACAAGTATGTATGAGTATAAGGATCAATTTTAATTATTTATTTAAATCTGCAGGTGATCAATTTTTAATGATTTATTTGAATCTGCAGGAATTCATAATATCTAACTATTGATCTTGCGACAAGTTGCCCCATGGTTCTCAATATCTCTGTGGTATTTAGTTAATTTATTTTATTCTGCTAGTAATTTATTTTATTATCTATCCAATTTATAATAGGTTGCACCGCCATTTCTTAATGCAAGTACATTATCTTGATCAATTTTAAATGCTTTATTTGGACGATGATTCTTCAGATCTACTTATCATATATTAAGTTTCCTCCTTATGATTTGCTTAACAAATATATTTCTTCTTCGTATCTGTTTATCCATTTATCTTACTATAGATTTTCCACGACTACTTAGATAAGTATATACTTTCAATGAACCTATACCACATGTGATAAGTTTGTTTTTTTCGTAATCAGCCACCTTCACTTCTAAACATTTCAACTATTACCATCACATGAAACAAACTGGAAAAAATAAGAAAACTAGAACTGACGTTATAGCTTTAATAGTATTGATATTAGATTTACTAATTAGACCTCTAATTACATCTTTATATTATAAAATATCTATATATCTTTGATCTGTTTGATAAGTTAAGATAACTATTCAATTTCTTCGAAGTATTAAAATTTAAGTCATAGGTCTAGTACAACTGACACAATATGCAAAACACTTGTCCTTTGACAATATTCTAGAAGTTTATTAGATGCATCATCACATCTTTTCTTTAGCCATTCTGGTATATAATCTTTTCGTTTAGCTTCTTCAAGTGATTCAAGCAACAAATAATAAAGAGAATGACCAATGACAGTATTGGATATTCTGACGATAACATAAATATGGTCGCTAAATTGGATTAAATAGTGAGGTAAATATTTTTGTCTTGTAACATATATTTATACTATACTTTTTTTTTTAATTATATCTTATGCTTAAATATACTAAACATCTTTAAAAGATAATAAAACTTCGGTGATGAGTTCTATTTTTTTCCAATCATTCTTGACCAAAATATATTTATATAATTCTATTTTAGCATAAGATATAGTATTTAACACTGTATGAAGTGTTAATGCACGCTCACACATATAAAAGATAAAATTCTACCGTGTTGCTATATCAAGAATTGGGTTTAACGTATTAAATAGCTTTAACTGTTTGCAGCACCTTCGTGATCCTCTAATACTTTTTATTAACCCCACAACTAAAAAGTAATGTAAGTAAATACAAAACTATTAATATAAAGCTTTACGGAGATCTTACTCGATAATATTCTAATACACTTTGATATAACAAAACACTTTGATCTATTACAGAATAGCATGATAATCACAAATCATTAAAATTTTAGTATAACAATAATGACCTTTTCTATTTCATTTCCTACAATCTTTAAAATACACTAGATAGCAAGATTTAAAATATGATTAAAGCATCATATTGATTGCTATATACTATCAAACTTAAAACCAATCATTAGTATAGAACGAGAAAAATCATGCAAAAACTTTATATTGGCAGATGCATTATCACAGATTATTGACATTAATTTTGATAGTTTTTCATTTTTTTAAAGACAATCTTCCATAGCTTTCGCAATTTCAACAGCCATATATGAATCCTCCATAAAAATAAAATCAAACAGAATATTTTTTATTTTTCATGATTGATTTAGATAATGAATCGTGATAGCTATGAATAACTTTTCATTAGTAGAGGTAGTCCAAATATCAGTTGTTATTGTGATATGTCTAGGAACTTCTTGCAATTTTGTTTGAAGTCGTTTATGTTTTTTCTTAAAATTGTTCATAATGTATCGTTTAATTAGGTTGGCAGAAGGTACTAAAATAAAAAACTCTTAAGTATTTATTTTTACCATAATATTAATACATTAAATATACTATTTTTACCAACTATCATAGGTTCTAAGTAAATAAATATAGATCTAAGTTCGTTGTCTTCAATGATTTAAAATGATCGATTATGTTTTATGATCTACCTTTTTATCATACTAGTCAATTTTCGTTGGCTAAAGGGTTCATATTGATAGGCTTAATTACTTATCATTTCCAAAACATTCACACCCCTCTTTACATTTGATTCCACTAGTTCAAGCACCTTATATCTTCTAAGGTGTCTTAGAAGATTTGATGTTATACTATTGCTATAGACCAGAGACTTTTTACAAATATCACACATGGTACTGCCTTTTGCTTTTTTAAAATATTTCTATACTATGAATCTATAAAATAAATCAAGAATATAAATTAAAATTCAATAAATAAGTCAATAAATAAATAAAGAATATTAAAAATAAAGCTTTGTATATTTTATCTATCATTTAAAGAGGTTTCATTACCAGTTGGTCCTGCTTGAGATGCTAATCCGATTGGACAGGATTTGTCTTGTTGCAGTTCATCTTGACATGATTCATCTTGATCTTTATAAGATTTATCAGGGTTTGATTTATCTTGGGATAATTTATTTAGATATGATTCATCTTGGTCCAGGTGCAAATCATCTGAGTAAAATTTACCATAATACTGAAATGATGACTCATATTCTTCAGATTCATCTTGAGAATGTGATTCGGTTGATATTGAGGGTGTTTAAAGTGCAAGATAAAGTAAAAAAATAGCAACTTCCTCTAAATATATATTATTTAACATATGTTATAATTAAAAAAAAAAATCAGAATAGAGCCAATAAAAAAATAAATAAAAAAAAAAGCGTCGAAATGCCAAGTTTTTATTTTAATTTTTTTTTTTTTTTTTAAATGCAAGCTTTTTCTTGAAAAAAAAAACTATAATAGAAGTAAAAGTTTTTTTTTCATGCGAGCCTTCACAGACTTTTTCTCAGCTTTTTCTCATGCTTTTCTTATGCCTTGCTAAAAAGAAAAAATGCAAGGTTTAAAAATTTTAAAATGCAAATTTATGTACAGGCTTTTGCTAAATATAGATTTCTGCTTTTTTTTTTATATATTGTTATCGTTATTATTAAATTGCATTATAGGTCTTATATTGTTATTTTAGACCCAAATACAAATAGCATTCTTTGTTCGTTTTGGTCATTCTAGCTCAATAAAGCTTGGTTTAAAAAAAAGCCAGCCAATCAGTGTACGATATTTAATAGACCAGGCGGGTCGGGTATTGCCCGGGCAGATCTTTGTATGGGTCTGAAACCGTATCGATTCTTATAAATCACAGGTCCGAACTCAGTCTGTCAACGGACTAGACCAGATCCAGATCTTTTGCAGAACACTAGTTGGTATAGTTTCTGAATTACTCCAACTAGAGAACTTACACATACAATCTTCTGTTGCCTAGACCTTTTGTGATGCTACTGTCATACGTAGTATCTGCACTCCACAACCTGGTCTTTTTTCAAAAACTCCTTATTCTGGTCTTGTGCTGTACTTGAACTTTCTATAGGGCTTCGCATCTAATTTATATAGCCCTTAAATTGTATAAATGATAACAAAAAACCAATCATGTGATTGTATCATCAACTGTACTACAATTATTTCATAGCAAT